TTCTTTAACTCTAGTTTATATGTATTTAATTTTAAAATGCAGTATTTTTCTTTACGGTTTTTCTAATGAGTGTCCTGATTGATTAAAGTGTTCCGCTATGGAGGAATAAGGATGGTTTTGACGTATGGATTATTTATGATTGTTGAGGCGAAATCTAAAATTATTTCCAGATTCACCAATATATCCACTATTAGGACATAAGGAGCAGAATAAATAGTAGATTATGTTATGGCTATCACAGGTGAGGTGAGGTGGGTGTATCTTGATATTGGTGTTGGGTACAGAAAATACATTATCTATTATTAAGTGTTTGCAAACTAAGCAACGAGGTTTGTTACATTTGTAATTTCCTGATTGGTTTGTATTGTTTAGATATTTGGTAGAGGTGAGGATAGCTGATAGGTTAGGTGATTGCTTCTTTGCATTTATGGGTGGATTATCGAAAAATATTTGATCTTTTTGTCTAACTGGAGGTTCTTGTAATCCTTTTTTAAATTGTGAAGAAGTGTGTCGGAATACTGATTGTGGATAAAAACCATAGGAATCCAATTGTTGTTTTTACTTTTCTTTTATGTGAGAAGTGTGTTGCGATATATCAGGATAGTTTTATTTAGTGCTTCTTTTATTATTTTTATTGGGTATTTACATTTTAGGGATTGTTTTGTTAAGTTATTAATGTTGTATAGAAAATCTAGATGGTCTGAGTATATGCGTTTGATTCTTAGAAATGAGTTGTATACAATAGATTTTTTTTTCAATTTAAGGGGATGACAGCTGTTAGAGTACAGGAATTTATGTTGGATTGTGGGTTTGTTGTATAGACTGGTAGAAATTGTATGTTTGTTTAATTTTATCATAACAGGTATAATTAAAAAAAACATAATATTTTTTTAATATAATATATTTTTTAATTTGCATTTTTCTATATATACATATTAAGGAAGTATACGTGGTTTCTCATTATGCTACATATATATATATATATATATATATATATATATATATATATATATATATATATATATATATATATGTTACATTACGGAATATTATGTTGAAGTTTCTTCTAGACTCGATGAATTACGGAATTATAATTACCAAAACCTCTTAAAATTTCTATCGCTTGTATATCATTGCTTGAACCGACTTCTAATGCTCTGGATGGAGCGGCTTGGGGGTAGTAGTCGTGGCTCATGGGAGGCACTGTTCTACGGGTAAAGCAACTAGGATGACTTCAACCACGGAATATATGAGTGACCGGCGCTATATCGAGTCTGATTTTGATACTTCTTGGTCACCGAGGCCCGTTGGAACAGTTGGTAATGAGGTTTGCATGATAACGTAACTGTCAGACTTTCAATTCTCGGCATTGGATGCGCACTGCTGATGAGTCCCAAATATAGGTCGAAACGACCGTCCAGTGCTTTCTGCATTCTGTTGAGGTTTCTTCTAGACTCGATGAATTACTTAATTTTATATATTATATATATATATATATATATATATATATATATATATATATATATATATATATAAATATACAAATTTAATGTGGACGAAAAAGAATATAAATTCAAACGCTCATAACTTGAATTTAAAAGAAGACTCAATACCAAGCGTAGTTATTTATTATAAGTTGTTAAAACGAACAAACAACAATCAGGACACATGGCACAGTGGATAAAGGCATTAGTTAGATCCAGTGACAGGACCCAACGATTGTGAGTTCAATACCTCTCAATTGGAGAGGGGAATTAACAGGAGATAACTGATAACTGAAATCCAGTAGATGTGGAACTAGAACAGTCTACCCCAGTAAGCGAATAAAAAGGTTCAGCTCAATATTCCAACCATATGAAGAAGGCAAGAGCGTATAAGGCCGGAAACGTTGTGATAAATATGGCAGCAAGAATGAGGATGATAGTCCGAACAATGTAAAGAGTGTACATAATGCTTCATCTCAGATATATAGAGAGATATAACATTTTTCATTACAAACGTTTTCCGCCTGACCTAGTAGTTTTACTCTTAAATGCTTGCCGGTGTTTTAAAAATTGGCGCCAAAATTGAACAGATAACAAAAAGACGGTTCAACTAGCATTACCAACAAAAGAGAGCAAAACTTATAGATACACGTATTATATACAGAGACTGGGATTTCTTTTTAATTTAAGTGGGTCTGACATCAAACGATTTTAACCTGTCCTCTTTTTAGCTGAATAACTCAACGGGCTTTTCATTGATACTTACGAAAATGGTATCATGATGGCTGTCCGTCTTATCTGAAACCTGAAAAAAACTCAATTAGTGAAGTCTTTTTTTAGACATTAACTATTTTTGTGTGAAGAATAATTATGGTGAAGCTTGATTTGTACAATTTTGCTGTTACACCCGGTTTATATATAAAAGAATAAACGCATGCGATTCATCAAACGAAGGTTTCTAAGGTATCACTCGGCCTGCTTTTTCAAAACTAATTTACGAGTTCATTTCGGGCCAG